GGGGGTGTAAACCAAAACAAGCATCTTGTTCACCCACTAATTCCTACAGAAACAATCCTATCGACGTGCAAGGATGCACAGACTTGGATAATATTTTAAATGGTGACAAAATGAAATACCTTAATGATCTCCAAGATGAGACTGATTAAATTATAGTGCAATATAATGATTGTGGGCCATTAAAAATACTGTTGTATGCTCATTGATACAGAAACAAATCCACAATGCTAAGTGAAAAAGGCAGGCTACAGAAGCAGTATAGGTGTTGTATGATCCTACTATGGTTTTATGTAGTATACATAAATACAATTTTAAAATATATATACAAAAAATTATGAAAAGGGTTTTTCTTTTTGCTTTTTATTTTAGTATTTTCATTTTTTTCTGTCATTAATTTTGCTAATTTTATGGAGGAGCACTAAATTAAAATGAGAACACAGGTTCCAGGTGGTTTCTTTACTTCCCTATCAAACCTATTCTGCTTATGCCTGCAAATCAATACTATCCTCCTACCTGTCTGAGCAACTCCAGCTTCTTCAGTTCCTCATTGTAGGCTTCTGGATTCTCACCATAATTCTTCAGGACAAACTAGGGAGAGAGAGAAGATGGTAAACCAGGGATAGAGAAGACTCCCCTGCTCCCACCCCTGCCCTGAGTCCTTGGCAATCACCAGTCAGGGCTCACGATTGAGTCCAGACCCACAACCACAAGCCCATCTCCTGGACCACCAGGAACTCGACCTCAATAATGGGGCAGTGCCAAGATTATGACCAGAGAACCTCCTCCTTTGAGCAAAGTGGAAAATAAGACTGGACAACCTGACTGACTGCCAGCTCAGGAAGCCGGGGAACTTAACTAACTGAAAGGGGATCCTACTGAGCATCCCAAAGTGGGCCACAAATTCAACCCTCCCTGAAGCACTGGGCCCTGCTCTGTTCTGGGGGTCACAACCATAACCCTGACCCAAGAGCAGATGAAGGAAGAGACACCAAAGAAGAGGGGGAGTGTGAGGCCTTCTTCACTGGCCCACCCTCCCAGCTGGGAAAGGGTACCACAGAAACAAGTGACCCACAGCGTCCTCACAGGTGAGGAAAGGTCTGTGGATGTGTAATGGCAATGACCCAGACGGGAGAACAGGAGGAGGGAAGGTCAGTGCCCACCTCAGAGAGGGGACTGGCATGCTTGCGCACGACAGCACTCACTACCTTGGGAGCTGACTATCTTGGACAGCGAGCATACTCACCAGCCTGGAAGCATGGCCTGGATCAAAGGATCCCTTGTTGGCCTAAAAGATCAACAGACTAAGGCCGCAGCAACTACTCCTGTGGCAGTACCTGCTGCCTGGTGTCTGGGTTAGCAATATAGGGGGGCCAGATCCACTCCTTCCACAAACACTAAAGGCACCAATGCCCAACTCACAAGGTCCCTGAAGGCCCTATCCAAAGTTTGTGAGATGGCGAAGGAAGGCGGCTGTACAGGCTGAGAACAGGTGGCCTGCTCTGTTCAGTAGCACACTTACACCATGTCTACGGCCCACCCACCTTTCCTAGGACCTAGGACACATGGCTAGGCTGTGTGCCAACTCCTACCTGCCTGGCAGGTAAAGAGAGAGGGGGGACAAAACGGATGCTACTGATGAATTTATTTCAGCACCATCTGGCCACGGTTCCAAACCTACGACCCTAAACCCTCTTCTGTTGGTTTTACCTTCTGAAAGTTCCCTATCCACCTGACCACCTCACCTGGACATTCCACCCCTTCAAATCCACCCCTTACCTAGTGACCAGATTTGTCTTTCTAATACAACTCTGATGTCACCTCTAACTTTAAATCTTTCTGAAACACACAACCCCTTGGGGAAAAAATAAACTAAAACCTGCTCTTCTCAGGATACTGACAATATGGGAAATGACTTGTAATTTAAAAACAAAAATAGTAATCTGAAAAAGCTATGCAACAGTGGCTCCCCTAAACCTCCAGGACCAAATCTAATCTCCCCAGCACAGAGTTCATGGCCCTTCACAACATGTTCCCAACAGCCTTCAGCTCCCAGGGACACTCAGCCAACAGTACTTTAGAATTACTGCTCTCAGGTCTCAATGCTTATCCATATGTTCTCCCTGTCTTCTCAAGTCTCAGCTGAAACGTCACTTCCTTGAATGTCAGCTGCTGCCCAATCCACATTCTGAACATGCCTCCACCAGACCGAGTGCCTCACAGCAGGGTCATACCAGTGACCACTCCCACTGCAAACAGTAAGTGTATCAGGAACAGCAGGGACCTGATTAGGTGTGTTGGATACTCAGCAAATGGTTGCCTTTACAGGAAATGCAGAGGATGGATGAATAAATTCAATCAATACTGAAGGAGACACTCAGAAAAACTGAGAAGATGGGACATTTTACCCAACAATTAACTCAGTCTCTTTGAAAAACCAGTATCACTAAGGGGGCTGGTAGGGAGAAGACTATTCTGGATTAAAAGAGATGAAAAAAACAAGAACAACCAAAACCATATTGGGACCCTGACTGGAGCCGAGTTTGAGGGAAAAAAAAATTATAAGAAAGGTAATGGGTGGAATCTAAAAAAAAAAGCATAAATACAAAACAGAAATAGATTCAGACATAGAAAAGAAACTTGTGGTTGCCAAGGGGGCAGAGAGTGGGAAGAGACAGACTGGGATTTCAAAATTGTAGAATAGATAAACAAGATTATACTGTATAGCACAGGGAAATATATACAAGATCTTATGGTAGCTCACAGAGAAAAAAAATGTGACAATGAATATATACATGTTCATGTATAACTGAAAAATTGTGCTCTACACTGGAATTTGACACAACATTATAAAAGGATTATAAATCAATAAAAAATGTTTAAAAAAATGTACTGGGGACAATAAGTAAAATTTAAATATAAATCACACTAGAAAATTTTTGTGGATTTCCTTTGGTATGATGATAATATTGTGGTTATATAAGAGAATATCCTCTTAGGATGTGCCAAGATGTGTACAATTTACTTGCAAAGGTTCATGGGATGTATACACACTCATATGTATGCATGTGTATGTACAAGTGTGTGTATATATATATAGACAGAGAGAGAGAAAACACAATGGTGCAATATAACTATCAAAATTAGGAAAAGAGAATTTGGGTGAGCACTGTGTTATTCTTTCAACTTTTCTGTTGTGTCTGAAATCTGGAAAACAAATGTTTTAAGAGTTGCTGAGTCATGATAAATGCTGGAGAGGCTGTGGAGAAAAGGGAACCCTCCAACACTGCTAGTGGGAACGTAGTTTGGTGCAGCCATTGTGGAAAACAGTATGGAGATTCCTCAAAAGACTAAAACTAGACTTACTATATGACCCAGTAATCCCACTCCTGGGCATATATCCAGAAGGAACCCTAATTCAAAAAGACACCTGCACCCCACTGTTCATAGCAGCACTATTTACAATAGCCAACTCATGGAAACAGCCTAAATGTCCATCAACAGATAACTGCATAAAGAAGATGTGGTATATTTATACAATGGAATACTATTCACCCATAAAAACGACAATATGCCATTTGCAGCAACCTGGATGTCCCTGGAGAATGTCATTCTAAGTGAAGTAAGCCAGAAAGAGAAATAAAAATACCATGAGATCACTCATATGTGGAATCTTAAAAAAAAAAAAAAGGCGACAAATTAACTTAAATATAAAACAGAAACAGACTCATAGACATAGGATACAAACTTGTGGTTGTCACAGGGGAGGAGGGTGGGAAGGGACAGACTGAGAGTTCAAAATCTGCAGATACTGACAGGTATACACAGAACAGATAAACAAGTTTATACTGTATAGCACAGGGAAATATATACAAGATCTTGTGGTAGCTCATGGTGAAAAAGAATGTGAAAATGAATATATGTATATTCATTTATGACTGAAACATTGTGCTCTATGTTGGAAATGGACACAACATTGTAAACTGACCATAACTCAATAAAATAAAAACAATTTTTAAAATTAAAAACAATTAAAAAGAAAAAAGAAAGAGTTGCTGAGCTAAATGGTACCTAAAAACACTTTCCCCTACATCAGCGGTTCTTAACCTACTGCAGGTCCTTTGATAATACGATAAAAGCCATAAAAAAAAATCTCCCTACAAGTATTCAACTATGCATAAACACAAAGATTTGCCAACAAGTTTTGGGGGTTCACAGATACTATGAATTCCATTCACAGGCTCTTGGTTTACAATCCTCTCTCTGATCTAGCCAACCTCCCCACCTCCCCCATCCAATCCACAAATACAAAATGTGGCCTGAGTTACAGGGTAAAACTTGACTATCTAAATGGGAACGTGTTCTTTCTTTGATTAAATCCCTTTTAGTAAGAGATTTCCGTTTGCTCACTCTGAGGCTAGAGAGAAGTAAAAGCGGAGCCTAGAGGCCCTGTGGGATAGAGGCCAAAGGGATTAGAAGAATATGAGAGTCCTAAAAACAAGGCTTCACCTGACATCGCTAATAACATCTGTCCCTGCTGGTCACACAGTGGTGAAGGAGAAAGAGATGCTGTCTCCACCCCCAGCAAACTGACCCTAGAGGAAACCTTCTACCTGTCACATTCCTCCTCCAAGTACAGCAGAAAACACATACTGAGCTCCTACACACAGGCCAGGTGCTGTGCCTAGTGCCTAATAAGTCACTCAATCCTAACAACAACCCAAAGAAATAGACAGACATCATCATCACCATTTTACAGACGAGGAAATGAGGAAACTGATGCAAGGAAGTTAGGGCATTTGCTGAGGTTAAAGCACTAGTAACTGATGGGGGAAATGACTGAAGTCCAGGCATTTAGGCTCCAGAGCCCATGTTCTTAACCACACATTAGACCAATTCATTTCAATTTTTAAAATGTTTTCATAAATAACTAAAAAGTGGGAAGAGAAAATGAATCTCTGGCCACACACAGTGAGTCAGTGGAGCAGACAGATTTTTTTTAAACTCTAACGAAATCCTCTATGACTTGATCACTCCCCCTACTGAACAGAGGAAAGAGGCAGCTGAAGGTTCTAGAATAAAGGATAGAGACTATCTCTCAGTCTCTCTGTAGCAGAACTCAGAACAAGGTCAGGCCAGGATCTGAGAAGGAAGGCCCAGCAGTAGGTAGAGTCTGGGCCTTGGCACCAAGGATCAAGAAAAAGAAACTAGAAGACACTGACAGGACCTCAGCACACCTACACAACTACCAGTCGGTTGTGGTTGGAAGGACCAGGGAACATCCAGAGCGCAGCCGGGCTTCAGATTTACTGAGGGAACAATGAGACCTATGAACAAGTCTATGTTCATTTAGAGCACGTCCAGGGTTCAGAACCACTGTGGGAGCCAGGGTGGAGGGAAGGAAGGAGTTACAATGAAAAAGCATGGAAAGACCATTTCCAGAGAGACATACCAAGACAGAGGAAGTCCTGAATTCTGCCCCTGGGCTGCTGTGAGATCTGAGCTTGGTTTTTCTTCTGTAAAATGGGGTTCGTATTACCCCTACGTCTAACAGAGCTGTCATGGGACTCAATCTATTTCCTAAACAGAGA